CCTCTGGGCATCCGACCAGGAGCTGCTCCGTACCCCTCTGTCTGACCCAGCTCACTTCTTGTGTAAATCTGAGCCTCAAAACCCCCCTCTTTCTCCACACCCCACAGCCTCCTTGCTGGAATAAACAAGAGTGTGCGCGTGCCTCTGGAAAACCCCCCAATTTATTTTTCTTGTACTCATGTTTTTATATATAATTTTATGGGGGACTCTTAGAGCTCTACTCACCATCCATCCTTCCATTGTGTCAAGCACATTTGTACATATGATGCCATCATCAGTTTCAAAACATTTACTTTCTACTTGAGCTCTTGGTATCAGCTGATTCCACCCCTTCCCCAAACCGCCCTCTCCCCTGAACTCTTGATAATTTATGAATTATTATTTTTCATGTCTTACACTGTCTCCCTCCACCTATTTTTCAGTTGTCCGCCCCCCTGGGAGAGGGTTATATGTAGATTTTTGTGATCGGTTCCCCTTCTCTCCCCGCAGCTTCCCCTTACCCTCCTGGTATCTCTGTTCTCATTATTGGTCCTGAGGGGTTTATCTGTCCTGGATTCCCTATGTTTCCAGCTCTTATCTGTACCCATGTACATGCTCTGGTCTAGCCGGATTTGTAAGGTAGAATTGGGAAACCCCTAAATTTAACAAAATAATCTCTCAGTTTGTCTATAACTGGAGACCCTGGTGGCATTGTGGTTACTCATGGGCTGCTAACTGCAAGGTTACTAGTTTGAAACTGCCAAACCCTCTGCAGGAGAAAGATGAGACCTTCTTCTACTCCTGTAGAGAGGTACAGTATTGGAAACCAAAGGGCAGTGCTACCCTGCCCTAAAGCCTCACTATGGGTCAGAATTGACTCTTTGACTCTATTATAGCGTGAAAGAGAGATTACCTAGAAGTGAGTGAATCACCCTACATGCATGTATGGAAAGTCGTCTGGGATAAGATGAGATGTGGATGAACAATCTCATTTTAGGGGAGGAAGGATTTGTAGAGATCACACACCCAGTGCTTCCCCAGAACTTGAAGAGTTGGCTGAGGTAGGATTTGTAGGATTGGAGGCTAATGATTGGACCACCGTTTCTACACACAAGGAGCAAGCCCGCTGCTTACTATGAAGTTTGTCCAAGGATAGAGCTGGAGGAGAAGGACCTATTACTCTCTTTACTCAACATCCTCTCTTCACCCCATCCTTCTCCCATTTCAGGTCCCAGGGTCACCATGGTTAGAACCAGTCCAACGTGGGCAGCCGGGGACTGATAACGACGACCTTGCAGCAGCTCCAGGCAATTGGGAGCGAGACTTTCAAAGGCTGTGATTGGCTGTGGGGACCACACTTCATCTGCCTTCAGAAGGCCTGCTGGACTTGCTTCGGCTGGCCACCTTATGTAATTGGCTTGTGGGCTTGACAGAGGCCATTCCATTAGCTGTTGGGAAACTACCTTGGGAATGGTGAGTACCAAAGAGAAATGAGCAATTCTTGGTAGTGGCAGGAGAGGTGATACATGATTTGGTGGGGCCCAGTGCTGTGCTTTGTTTGTTCTTTGAGGGGAAGTTGATAGAAGAGGCCAGGGGACCACATGCTGAGAGGGACCTCTGTACATCAGTGTTAACCAAGATGGACAGTACTGAGGTCTCCTGAGTGATCCAAGGGGTGACTGAAAAAGCAGACAGCTAACAGTCCTATACTGTGGGCTGTCGCCACTCACGGCCAGTGTGTCTGTGCCCACTCATAGTAACCCTGTAGGGCAGGGTAGGGCTGCCCCTGTGAGTTTCTGAGAAGAACTCTCAATTTACAGAAATACAAACCTTTTCTTTCTCCTGAGGAATGGCTGGTGGTTTTTGAACCTCTGACCTTGGGAGTCCAACACCTGACCACTATGCCACCAGAGCTCTTTGTGGGCAGTAGCATAAAAGTTCTTAATTTCCTGGAGGACGCTGAGTAAAACTTTTTTATAACTTATAAAGGGAGCAATTTGCCAAACACCATTGGGAATTTATCAATTTATACATTTTTCCCCCAGCCTTGCATTCCTGTGGTTACCTTTCATATTTGTTGCTCAGAGGTGGTTCTGTGGGGCTTCCTATCCCACTCTGGGCACTGGGACTCTGTGGAATAACAGCGTCTCCTCTCCAGAGCCTGAAGACTGAGCGGCCCTCACTGAGGAGGCTGAGCCCCAGGCCCTCCAGACCCCTCCAGTCCCTTCACTGTAGACAGTTCTTGGGTGTCCCTAGGCACTAGTGCTTTTCCTGTGCGGGTCTAAAGTACAGATTCACCTGTCACATGCAGTGGTGGAGTACAGAAAGGGAGAGATCATTAGGGGAGGAAGTCGGATGTTTTGTGGGTCTGCTTGGGGCTTGTGATGATCATGTCCTCATTGAAGGAATAATGCAGGTAATAATGCAGGATTATTACCTGTCAGGTCTGGAAAAGCTTCCCCTCTTGCTGGCTGTGATGGATAACCTGCTGCAGACTTGAAGGTTCAGAGAAACATGTGACTGATTCCAAGTTCTTTCCCTCAGCCTATCTGTGCCTAGAACTGCTGTTATATTTCTAAACGGTTTGACTGCTCCTCATAGTATCAGATTCTTTTTGCCGCACTGACTCATCAAGACCCTGTGGGTGTCCGAGACTGTAACTGCTTACAGGAGTAGGAAAGTCCAGTCTCGCACCAACAGGGCTGCTGGTAGTTTCTAACTGCCGGCCTGTGGATTGCAGCCCAACAAGTAACCACTCCACCCCCAGAGGTAGCATCAGAGAGAATATGAAATTGAAGAGTCTTGTAGTGCTCGACCATGACCGTGAAGCGCCCTGGTGGCACAGTGGGTTCCACATGGGCCTGCTAACCTCAGGCCAGCAGTCAGGAACTGCTGGGAGCAAGATGCACCTTCCTACTCCCCTGAGAGGTACAGTCTCGGGAACCCATAGGGTCACTTTGAGTCCGAGTCTCTCTGTGGCAGTGACTTTGAGGGGTGGGTTTGGCTGGAGAAATGGACGTAGAGGTGAGTGGATGCAGCTTGTCATTTTCACAGTTTCCATTGTTCGCAAAACTGGGCATCAGCTGATGCTCCTACTGAAAGTACTTTAATTAATGGAGGTAAACCTCGCAACTACAGGGGAACACCTGTGTTCACTGACAGGAAAGGGGCTGTTCAGCTTATTTAAGTACTGAGAACCAGCTTGGAAACTCTTATGACATATAACATGCTTTTGCAGAGGAGATGATGTGCTAAATCTTGTGGGCGTTTCGGAAACAGTCTCTTGACGATGATAAAATGGATGTACTGAATGATAACCCGCTTCTCTGTTTAAAGAGAGCTCTCTGTTCGGTCATTTCATAATAATGAGGGCTTGGTGATGAATTTTCAGAAGGTTTTAACTTTGCAGTGCCAAGTCCTTGGGCATATTAAAGCTCACAATTGATTTCTGTTGTTGTTCGGTGCCGTTGGGTCGCCTTCGACCCACAGCTCCCTGTGCACATGGGCACCGCCTCGCCATTGTCCCTGTGCCTGAGCCCGTCCATGCGGCTGCTGTGTCCATCCGTCCCTGGGGGCCTTCCTCTCTTTGCTGCCCCTCCATTTTACCAAACACGATGTCCTTCCCAGGGACTGGTCTCTCCCGGCAGTATGCCCGTAGTAGTAAGAACTCTCTCCATCCTTGCCTCTAAGGAGCATGCTGGCCTTACTTCTTCCAACACGGGTCCATCTGTCCTCTTAGCAGTCCGTGTACTCTCAATGTTCGTCTCCAGCTTTGAGTCAGAACTGATTTCTAGTATGTTTAAAAGTGAAATCAGTGTGATTTTCAAATAGTTCTTTTCTTC